AGACCCATACATATCCAAAAGTCAGATAACAATGACTGGCCCGAACCGGCACGGCGTGTATTAATTGAACACATACAACGAAATCTATGGTTGTGAATTACTGTGTGATACACAAAAGTAGCTTCGCGGACGGCTAACAAATCATTTTCAGTAGGAACCAAAGCAGAAAAATAGTTGGAAACTTTAACAGATTGAACCGATGATCTTGTAGCTAACTTATGTTTTTGCGTTTTGAGATGATCGTTTATATCCGATCGTCCACCATGACTTACTGAAAAAGTTCCATGGCAAGTTGTACACTGTACATTGAAATCGTCAGTAGTTTAATAAATGGGAAATCATTTTGCAACTTTTCGTTAAAAAGACAAAATCTTTTAGGTGGTATAGTCACTACGTAAAAAAATGAACTGTATAAAATTACCAATAACCTGCAAGTACAAAGTTAGGAAAAGTTAATGATTAAAAATTAACATTTTTACAATCATCATTATACCATTTGCCTCATTTAATTTATAATAATAAATTAATATAAAATTTAGATATCTGAGATTTAATGGTTAAGGGGATAGTGGGGGGCATAGCCCTACTAGAACGATAGCACAAACTTATATCTCAATCCCACCTCAGAACCAATTCAAAATTACGCCACTGGCAGGTACGGGCCTACGGAGTTGATCTACCTTGTAACACCAGTGTCGTGAGTTCGCTACAAGCAGCTGCGGGTAAGAACGCGAAGCGCCGCGACGGGCGACAGCAATGGTAATAATAATAATAATAATAATGTTGATTATCGGACGTCCGCACGGTTTCCCTCCAATTCTCGGCGACCACAACAAGGAAAAAAAACGCGCGTGCTCGCAGCCGCGGTGGCAACATGACGTCACGATCGGCTCGTCCGCCCGTCTAGCTCGTTCGCGGCAGCGGCGTAACGCGCATAAACACACAAACAGTGCGCTTTGTGTCCACCGTCGGCTTTTGTTGTACGCCCGGGTTTCCCGCCATTCGCTATAAATTATCACTGCCGTCCGTGACCGTGGCCTGCATACACGGGTTCTATTTATTTATTTATTTTTTTCCTTCCAGTCTTAACGATACACTCCGCAATAGCACCAATATCAAAATAACATAACAATTATTACGTACGTAATTAATAACGATTTGTTATTTTTTACGCGTGTGCGATTTTTCATTCGGGCGTTCGAGCGCAACGCATAAGTTTCGACGCCACCGCCGTTGCCACTGTGCCGCCGTCGTCAAGTTACATGTAATATAACCAACAAGGACGCGTGTCGTTTATCACGCCGGTCGCGTGCGCCCGCCTATTTATACCCAATATTTCCAACTACGCGGTCAGTGTGCGTGTTAGTTGGTGGTCGTGGTCAGCGACGTTGTAGTGGTGACCGAGGGGATATCGAGACGCGATGGGCGTACCGGTGGACGAAGACATTTACAACAGCAAGTATGTGGAGCTATGCAAGGGTCTCAACTTGGACAAGAATGCCGCCAGTCGAGCGTGGGAGACGTATCTAGCCGTTAGGGAGAACTATTCATTGGACGTATGCTTTAATTTTTTTATTTAATACTCTCACTGTACTTATCTTTACAACTATGCGCTGTAGGGTGATCCGAGTCATTGGTTGGCTTGCGCCATTTATGTGGCATGTCGTAACGTCACTGAACATACAGTCGGAGACAGTGAGACTTTGATTGAGGGCAATCTAGTTAGTTTGACAAGACTTCTGCGTCTGTGTAATATTAGGTATATATTTAGTGAGGAATAAAATATTCTTAAATGTTGTGTTGCATTTTATGTGATTATTAAATTTATTTAGCCTCATAAATTTTATTGGAAAAAGCAAGAAATGGGCTGATATGATCAATATGCCACCAGAATTACGTCGTAAGATCGATAAATTAGAAAAAAATTTTGCCGTTTCAATGGTTATATTTAAAAAATTCCAACCTATTTTTGAAGCTATGTTTAACAACACTAAAGATGAGCAAACAAAAGTCCGTTGCTCTAAAAAGCAAAAGTTTGTACTAATTTAAATTTATTAATGAATCGCTTCTTAAATGTATTGGAAATATTTATAGGGTAACATGTTCATCTTCTAAACTTTTTGAGTTTTGTTGGACATTATTTGTTGTCGCTAAATCCGAATTTCCAGATTTGAGTGAAAATTTGGTCAATTCTTATCATTTATTGTTAGCTTGTTGTGATTATGTGTATACAAATGTTCTTATGGCTGATTTAAGATATTTACTTAATAAATCTTTTGGAGGTAATTAATAATTATAAATTATTTGTATTATGAATTTATTAATGGTTTTTTTCTTAGGCTTGCCTAATGATTTTGAAGCCAATTCTTACGTTCCACCTTCTAAACCAATTTGCATTATTGATTATTTATGCCAACATTATGATGGTATAACTACTGATGCTAAAGTAATTAAAGAGTACTTTTGGAAAACTAATTTAAAAAAGTTAATTGAAAGAAAAGTAAATACCTAATTTTAAATTTATACATTTTTAGCCAAAAGTTTTTTTTTAATAATTTTTGTTTTATTAGGTTTTAAAAGGTGATCCTGACTTGAACTTACTTTTGGATATTATAAATTTTGATTTCAATTACAAAGCAATCAATAAACGATATGAACAGTATGTTTTGAGTGTTGGTGAATTTGATGAGCGAATATTCCTTTGTAAGAAACTACATAAAATTAATTTTATTCAATGTCATCTAGTTTTGGGGTTTATTTTATCTGTTAAAAAAAAAAAGAAAAAATATCTTCATTTCTGGTAATAAAATATTAATACTTAAATATACTCGGGGATTTTTTTTTTTATCAATTATGTGGTAAATTAAAGTTAATTGATATAAAATTTAATCTATGTTGAACAAATTTTATGCTTTAAATTGTCATTTTTATTCTATTATGATTTCATGATTTTTATATCATTAAGTTTATTAATTTAAAATATAAATTCATTATTTGAATAATAGTTTGTATTTATAAATATTTATAGCTGAAATTTTATAATTAAAGTATAAATTTAATATTATTTGTTATATAATTAGTCAATCAACTTGTTTTAAATGATTTACTATTTTTAGGCTGCCAATTAAAAAAATTTTATAAACATAAATTATTTCTTAATTTTCAATAAATATTAGCTTAAAATTTGTGTGTGTGTGTGTTTGTATGATTATTTTTTTATATATTTTTATTTTTAATGATAAAAAAAATTAGTTTTAAGAATTATTTTATATTATTAAATTTTAATTTTTTTAGCTGATAATGCCAATAATGAAATTGGAGCATCAAATGAATGTTCAACTGAAGATTTAGCCAAAGAAATGAAAAATCAAAAAGTATAAATAATGATGTATTTTCTATAATATTATATGTTATATACCCTTTGTTTGCTGTTTAGAATAATTTATTTAACCATCAAACACCTCTTACTGGTCGAAATCATTTAAAACCAAAAATTGATACATCTAATGAGAGCACTCCTGTAAAAAATGCATCGGAAATGGTATTCAAAATACAATCAATTTTATTAGATTGTCTACCTTTTCCATCTGATAAATTATATTCATTATTAAAGTAAATTCATTAATTTTTCTAATTTTATTATAATATATCAATTAATTTTTTTTTTTTTATTGTTATGACAGGTCATGTTCAGAAACTTTAAAATGTGATATTGAAGATCTAATTAATACTCTTGGAAATAAATTCTGTGCCCAATATTGTCAAATTGATCATAATTCTGCACTGCATAATGATTTTGCTGAAAAGAGATTGACTATTGCCAAGACATGGTTCTACAAGTTGTTTGAAAATATTATTGCTAAAGAAGCAAAAAATCCAAAATATGACATTAAAGTATGTATCATATAATTAATTTTAAGGATAACCCATACATTTATTATATTTAAATATATTTAAATTTTTCTAGTTGTTGATTTGCCATACTGTATTTCACGAAACACTCTTTGCATGTTGCTTAGAAATGGTTTTATTTTCTTACAATACACAACGTGCATTTCCTTGGGTTCTTAATGCTCTACAAATCCATCCTTATCATTTTTACAAAGTCATTGAAGTTATTGTTCGTGTAGAGGATAAATTACCTCGAGATATGATAAAGCACTTGATTAGTGTATGTTAAATTATTTAATATTTAACTTTTTTTTTTTGTGTATATTTTTATTGTTATCAATTTTTAATTTTTTCAGGTTGAAGAACAGGTTCTGGATAGTTTATCGTGGCAGTCTGAAAGTCCATTGTGGGATTTAATTGAAAAAAATAATAAACGAATCCCTCACTATGATGAAATTGCTTTAACTAATGTTGTTGGAAGCTCATCAATGTCTAATATAAACCAAAAAATTGAAAATAGTCGTTTTCCACATAAAGGTTGGTTTACATCAATATTTGTTATTTGACTAAATACAGTACCTATTTTATTTTATTTTTAAAAAAAATGTATTTTTAGAAAGCCCAGTTTCTGATAGATTTATTTCTCCAGCACCGGGTCAGCCTAATGTTATAAGACTTGGTAAACAAATTACTATGAATGAAAATAGGCAATACTTTTCTGCTACAACAAAAAATAATGGAGTTTCACCATCTAGTTTAACTGGTCCATTAAAAAAAATTGGTACTTTAGGATTATTTTTTAGAAAAGTAAGTAATAATTATATGATGTATTGGATTTAACTATAATTATTCTCCTAAATAATACACAATTAAGAAAAAATATTACAATTAATTTTTATTTTAAACACTATAATATTATAAATGTAAAGTTTATAACATTTTATATCATTTATTTTTATTTTTATTATACTTAAAATATTCTTCTTCTTGGTTTCGGCCTTTAAGACCATTCCGCTAAATACAAATCTTGCCATCTGTCCCTATCCTCTGCAGCTTCTTTCCATCTGATTCCTGGATCTATCATTTTTAAGTCCTTTTTAACACAGTCTTCCCACCTCAGTCTAGGTCTTCCTAGTGGTCTTTTACCTATTGGTTCATTCTCAATTGCCTGTCTAACTAGGGATCCTTGCTTACGCCAGGCATGGCCCCCCCCCCCCCAACTGAGTCTTCTTTTTGTGATCTCCTTAACTATGTCAGGTCTCTGAAACTGTCTTTTGAGTTCATCATTATATAACTTTCTCCATTCATTTGTTTCACTGTCAAAGACCGGTCCATACATTTTTCTTAAAACTTTCCTCTCGAAAACCCCTAGTCTCTGTTCTTCAGCTTTCCTCAATGCCCACATCTCAGAGCCATACAGGACAATAGGTCGTAATAATGTCATATACATTCTTATTTTTAAATTTTTAGAGATTGTCCTCGATTTTAGTATTTTTTCTAATCCATAATATCCCTCGTTAGCTAACTGTATTCTTGACGACACCTCTGTCTTAAGTTCATTATTTTGGGTGATAATCGATCCTAGATATTTGAATTGTGATACTTTCTTAAATTTATGTCCTTCTAGCTCAATATATTGTTCTAGTCTATAATTTCTGTTACTTCGACTGACAACCAAATATTCTGTCTTATCATCATTAATAGTTAAGCCTACTTTCTCCGCGGTCTTGATAAGTTTCTTTCCCAGACTTTTTATCACCTCAATATTATCTCCTAAGAGAGCAATATCATCTGCGTATGCTATGAGCCCTATTTTTACCTGACCTAGCTCAATTCCTTCCGAGATGTTCATTTCTCGAACTATTTTTTCCAGTACTAAGTTAAACATCACTGGAGATAGTGCATCGCCTTGTCGGAGACCTGTGTCACTCCCACGGGCTTTGATATTGTGTTTGCTATCTTGACTTTTATATCTGTCTGGCTGATGGTAGCTCCAATGAGGTTTACGGTTTTACTTGGAAATCTGAATTCTTTGAGTATATTCACTAGGCTTTCCCTATGAATAGAATCATAAGCTTTTTTAAAGTCCACAAACAATATGTGTACATCCTTATTATATTCTCAGCTTTTTTGGAGGATCTGTCTTGCAACGAAAATCTGATCTGTTGTAGATCTATTGGGCCTAAATCCTCCCTGGTAGTCACCTAGTAAATTCTCTGCTATAGGTCTTACTCTATCCAGTATACAATATGCTAGAACTTTGTATGTTGTATCTAGTAATGCTATACTCCTATAATTACTACACTCTTGTGAATCATTTCTTTTATGAATAGGGCAGATTAATGCGGTGCCCCAGTCTTTAGGAAGTCTTTCTTCATGCCAAACGCTCTCTATAATACTATGTATTTTATTTATTGTTAATTCATCTAGGTTTTTTAGCACTTCTCCTTGGATTCCGTCCTCCCCAGGAGTTTTATAGTTTTTTAGCCTGTTGAGTTGTTGTAATATTTCATCTCTGCTTGGAGGCGAGCATTCAGTGTCATTAGGTTCCGTTGGCATCTATGCAAATGTCTCCACTGGGTTTTCGCAGTTAAGTAGTCGTCCAAAATAGTGTTTCCGTTTTTCAAGTACTTTGTCCTGTTCTGTTACTAGAGAACCATTGTCATTTTTTAGGAACTTATTATGTTTTTTGTATTTTCCTCTAATTGAATTTTTCTTCTGGTATAGTTGTCTAGTCTTATTTCCTCTATGATCAAACTCAGCTTCTTTTAGTACATCTTTTGTATATTTCCGTTTTTCATATCTAAATATATTATTAGCTTCTTTTTGGCGTTCTTTGTATATCATAGCTTTCTCTCTATTAGTAGGATCGTTGAGCAATTGAGTCCTGGCTTCTTTTCTTCTATTAAATGCTTCCTTACAGGGGTTGTTGAACCACGGTTTCCTTGTCCTCTTTTGTTTGTACTTGTTTGTACATTGTACTCTTTACAATAAACCCTCCACCTCTTGCAAAATCTATAAGCCTGAATCCATTCTCATTAGTTACATCGTGAAGGCTATGGATACCAACCGTTGACCGAAATATGATCTCCTTCCCTAGTTTGGCATTGAAGTCCCCTAAAACTATTCTAATTGTATTACGTGGAATTTCGTTTAGTGTGTGTTCCAGGTTATCATAGAACTCATCCTTCTCCTCTTGCGGCCTTTCTTCCGTGGGTGCATGCCCATTCACAAATGATATGTTGAAATGTAGTGCTTCTATCGTTAATACTGATATTCTTGGATTAATGCTTTTGAGTTCTCTTACTGAAAGTACTAAGTTTTTATGTATTGCGAAGCCCGTTCCAAATTGACGATGTTTATTACATTCGCCGTAGAAAATCGTTATATCCTGAATCTTTATCGTTCCATTACCATCCCACCTTATCTCTTGTAGGGCTACCACTCCTAGTTTATATTTTTCTATCTCCTCAACTAAGCATTGTACTGCTCCAGATTTAAAAAGTGTGCGAACGTTCCATGTTCCAAAGGATAATCCATTTTTCCATTTTCCATTCTTATTTTCCAAAGCTCCACAGTTCCGAGGCAAGTTTGTTGTTAGTTCCTGAACAATATTTTTTTTTTTTAAGGCAGGGTTGTTAGCCCTGTGCTAAACCCCCAACCTAGAGGACCAGTCTATTCCAACCAATTAAGGTCAGAGTAGGGCTATTGCAGTGTACTTACTAAGTACACTGAGCGATGGGCACGCCACTTTCCCTACGCCGGAACTTAAAATATTCTGATGAACTAAATTATGATTAGGTTAAATGTCTATATACTCTAGTAAAACAGAAATTTGTTTAATTTTTAAAATTGAATGGAATATTTTTGTTTTTGCCAGATGATATTTTTAATAATTTTTTTTCAATTGCAGTTTTATTATTTAGCTTCTGTACGCATGCAAGATTTGTGTTATCAATTAAGTATAAGCGATGAAGATTTGATGAGAAAAATTTGGACTTGTTTTGAACATGTTATTATTGAGCATACCAATATGATGCGTGATAGACACTTAGATCAAATTCTAATGTGTACAATTTATATTATTTGTCGAGTATGACTAAGAACATTTCACAATATATTTTATTTATGTTTTTATTAACATTTTACTGTGTTTAGGTGGTCAACTTAAATTTGTCTTTTCAAGCAATAATGAAATGCTATCGAAATCAACCACAATCTGCTTCACATATATATAGAAGCGTTTTAATTTCTCCTCGAAATCCCAGCCAAGGTATTCATTTTTTTTTTTTTTTAAATTATTAGTTTTATGAATAATTATTAAGTAAAGAGTTAGTTTCAATTAAATAATTGATTTGATTTGTGTATCAATATCTTATAATATCTTAGTTATTACTTTACGAAAAATGTATTTACTTTTCTATGAACAGAGCCTGTTGAAATTGAAGGAGTGCGTCAAGATAAAGAACAACGTATTGATCTTATTAAATTTTATAATACTATATTTGTTCAAGTAGTTAAAGATAATGCATTAAAGTATTCTACTAATACTATAGTAAGTCATTTAAAACTATTAAACAACATAATCTTAACAAAATTTAATTACTGTAAATTATATTTTATCATTTATTGTTATTGTTTATTAGAATGATAATCTTACACTGTCTCCTTTACCAAATACTAAGACTCAATTACAATCACCAACTATGCGTCGAGTTAATGATCGATTACCAATATTTATACGTAGATTGGAAGCAAGCCCAATAAAATCTCCAATCAAACCATTAAGTTATTGTATAAATCAAAGTCCTAAAAAAGTGAGTCTCTTTATATTAGAAAATGAGAACTCAAGTTAAATATCTAAATAAAACTATGATATATTTTTTATAGAATATTATATTTTAGAACCATATAATATAAAGAAATAAAATAAAAGGCAAAAGCTCATTTATTTGGCTAATAATTCAAAATTAGATTGTTAAATATATTTATATCATACTTAATGTGTTGTGTCTATTTATTTAGGATCTGGAAAATATAAATATGATAACGATGCGATCAATTACCAAAAAAAGAAATATTAATGAGGAACACAAAGATGGACCGATTCCAAAACAAAAAACTCCATCTCCTCCTGTTATAACTAAAAGATTACAAGGTCTTTTAGAAGAACGAATGGAACATAATACTGATAAATAATAAATTTAAATGCTTATTTTCTTCATTTTTCTATCTTGTGAATTTTTGCTCTTATATTAGATAATAATTTCATTTATTTATGATTTGTTTAAACTATGAATCATAGTTGTTAAAATAGTTTAAAATATTTATATTTAAAACCGTTTGTGTCCTGGTGTTATATTTAGTTTATGTTTTTTTTTTTTTTAACTTCTATTGAAATATTTTTTCTTTTTAACTAACAAAATGTGTGTTAATTTTTTTTAAATATTTTACATTTAGGCAAATTTCTCATCTAATTCAGTCATTGGACACAAATAAAATTAAGTCTGTTGGTCATAATTCACAGAGTAATAATAATTTTAAACTTTCTTTGTATTTTTTTAAAGCACAATAAAACTTAAGTAGTCATTGAATATATAAAGATATTTATTCTAATTTTTTTTAAAAACTCTAAAATTTACATTTTTATTACTCTGGATCTCATTCTCTTTTATATAATTTGTTATTTACAATGTTTTTTATTTAAATCTTTTATTTATTCTTTATTACAATCCTAATTTGTATTAGTTAATTTTTTAAGATGTGTTAATTTTTTTCCTACATCATAATTCAAAGGTATTTTTGATTTATCCAAATGGTGTTTGATTATTTTATACTCATAAATCCTTTTAGAAAAAGTATATTTTTAATTAAGTTCTATGTTTTTTTGTACTTTATGTTGAATTTTATTTTTTATCATTAAACTAACTTTTATTTTATTAAATGTTAACTTACATATTATGCAATAAATCATTAAAATACAATTTAAAGTTATGAGTGAACAGAATATTATATCGATGGCATTTTGTTGAAGGGCATATACCACAAAAAATCAAAATATGAGTTTTTGGTATCAAAATTTTCAGAAAAATAGGCGCATAATTTGTAATATTGAGGCGGTTAAAAATATTAAGAATTATTTTCTATATAGCGGATATAAGTTATCCAAACACCCTAAAGAATATATATATATATTTTAATGGAGAATTTTAAAAGGGCGTATACTACAGGAATTGCTAGTGGTTTTATCGAATAAACTAAGCATTTGAATGATAATTGTTATCAAATTATCAACATGCCTACTATATAAAGGTATATCCAAGATCAACCGACCTTAGCGATATCATTTTTAAAAACACTATTTTGTTCCTCTTGAACAATTTCAATTATGTGGTATATGCCCTTTCAACAAAACACCATCGATATGCATGATTTTGAATTATTAAAATGTTAGACTAAGTCATTTGATGAAATTTAAACAAATATAGATTATATTATAAACTCATTGAATGTGTAATGTTCATTTTCCATTACAAAATGCATTTATATGTAATAAATAATAATATGATACTGATTGTAAAATTTAATTAAATGTATTAGTATTATTTTATTATATTATTTAATATGTTTTTGCAGTGAGGTTTAACTGTACGTAGTTTTATGTTGAATGACTTGTAAATGAATAACAATTATAGTTGATAAAGTGTTTTTGCTATGGTATGTATTTATTATTTTGCAATGAAATTTCACTTTAAAATATTTTAAAACAAAACAATGATTTTAAGTATACTATGTTTTTAATACAATTAAATTAATATCTGTGAAATTATTTATGTGTAAGTTATTTTCATTTGGTTGTGAATTTTAATGATATTAAAAAATGTTGACCTATTTTGAATTAAAAAATGAAGAGTCTCTTAACTGTATTATCATATTACAGTTTGTATTGTTTAGGAATATTAAAATTATAACAATTTATACTTATTTAATTTTTTATAAAGAAGTTATCTTCATTATTACTCTATTATACCATATTGAAATTAATTACATATTTTAATGTTTAAATTTAAATTGCAATTAAATTTATACATGCAATATAAAAAATTACTAATAATTGAAAATGATTTAGATTAATGTTGTTATAATTAAAATAATATTTTTTGGTAAAATTATATTATTAATTTTTTAAAAATTGTAAATGTTCAAACTTCCTTGGAATTATTTTTAATATCTATGATATATTTTTTATTCTAAAAAATATATGTTAAAATTATATTTAAAAACTAGTCTACAAAATTACATAATAAAATCACAACTTCGAACAAACAAGTTATTACCAAATAAAATAGACTAAAAGATGATTATTATAAACATCTATATAATAACCTGAGATACCTTTAACCTGCAGGCCTGCTAGGTTATTTATTTATTTATATATAATTCAACTGGGCTACTAGCCCTTGAATATTGAATGGGGTATAAGACCAATTATGTGTAGGGTAAAACAAATTTATAGAATTATGTATAGCCATAAGTAATATTAAAAAGAACCGTATGAGCCTCGCTCTGCTGTACAGTTGGAAGTGGAGTGCATCTTGTTTACAGGATAGGTCATTACAATGGATTTGTTAAATTTGAATGCAATGTTAGGTATCATTGTATACGAATAACGATTCTGAACAGAGATGATTTGTTAGATATATATAGAAAAAATATTATATATATTATTATTTTTTATTATAACTATAAATTGATTATGTATGTAAACACATAAGTACCCATCATATTATTTTTCAATTTATTTTGCTGTGAACATCTGAACACATTGCTCGCCCTCGCCTTTTGTAGTTTTGTACACCTACTAAAGACTGACTGTTTCTCTGCAGCGTAGTTCGAACAATCACAAGTGCAACTTTATTTCTTGGAGGTCTTTAAATTATTCGTAAGTATTTATTATGATATTATTGTAATCAACCTATATTGTATTTTACTTATTAAGTACGTATAAGTACTTGTACATATTAATTTTATTCATCATAAAAATAATAATGTATATAATATATTTAACTGCATATTTTTATGTAAGCAGTGGCGTACAAATGATGGAGGGGTTCGGGATAATCCACTCCCCGGGATAAAAAAAAATATCCAGTTTTGAAATTATTAGAATAATATAATGAAAAATGTACACCTCACTAAAATAACACATAACGTGTATATAAAATCTAGTAGTCATCAATTCATGGGCATATTTTAGGGGGGTGAAGGAGCGATCACCCTCCCTGAATTCGTATTTTAGAAATTGATTATATGTGAGATACACATTTCAAATTTTTTTAATGTGGATCATTTTATAACGAAATCAAATTACGCGTGGCTATGAATACTGAATTGGGCTTTTTGTCAGGTCCATACTTAGTGAAAAATCAAATAAAACACAAATGTAACTTTCTAAACACAGGTGTTAAAAAAAAACTACACAAAAGTCGATTCTAAGTAGATCCGATATTAGATTAAAAAAAAAGCCACAATTATTAAAGATTCACCTGATTTAAATATTACCAAACATTTTACTTCAATTTTGAGCCTGAATTAAAGAAAAAATGTCATTCGCCCCCCTCCCCTAGTAAGTAAGTATATACTATATACGCCCCTGTATCCAGTGTTTATTTCAGACCTTCTATCCCAGGAGGGAATCGTAAATTTCCAAAGAGGTTTGCCTTAGAAATAAATAATTAAGGGAAGTAAAAGTATCGTTTTATGCTCAATTTATAGGTATAGATACCTACCTACGAATACGCAAATTCTTAGAAATCTAACTTTGGTTAATTATATGTATACATTATTTAAATTAAAGTGTAGAATAATAATTATTCAACCATAATACTTTTGAACTATTTCTCTCTCCCGTTCCGGCCATACCCGATTACCGATTTTTGAGTTATTACAGTTTTTAAAAAAAGAGGCGGTAAACACTAACTGTGCTTCAGGGCGCCTATAAGGTTAATTCGCCACTGTTAAAAGCTAAGTTTGGTGTAACTTTTGGTGGTTATAAAACACATAAAACGAAAGTTCAAATGCATTGGTATAGTAGTTTTGGTGGTACGCTGAATTACCTCTGAATTAACCATTATTTGCTGGTTCCAATATTTTTTAAAATCCCTTCTTATTGCATGTATTGAATATTGGAGAAACGATCATTTCAAATTTCAAGTTCATGTAGTACTGAGATGTAACGATCATCAATGAGTGAGATCTATCTGACGTTGCCTGTTGAGAAAATTGTGAGTGTTCAACTCCTGTTGGGTGTTACCGTAGAACCTATAGGCATATACGCCTTTTTAAGTATAAATCATCCGAAATAACGGTTGAAATAATAATTTGTTGTGTATTGTAATAGGTAAATATTAAATATAGTTACCTATATTTATCACGCCTTGTTGTTAGTGTCGTATTTCTCAGTAAACACTGTAAGTTAGTGCTTAGGGTGCCAATTTCTCAAGGGCAGCAAATAATTTTTAATATTTAATTTTTATTATATGTAACTAGAATTAAAATAAATGCAACTTATTAAAATGTTTTATTTTATTAAAGCCAATGGGTACTAGGCACTAACTATTTAATTTTGAATATAATTTAAAAATGAACTGTTTAAGCATTTTTATAAAAACTGTATATTTTTATTTTACATCATTAAAATTTTAAGTAATAAAGGAAACAACTATATTTGCTTTAATATAATTGATTATACTAGAAAAATATTTATATTAAAAGGCGACGAATTGTTTAGTGCTTAAAGTGGCAGAATGGTTAAATCCGGCTCTGCTTGTTGTGCCGTTTATTATATATAAGCATATACTAATATCCTTACAACAATGTTAAATTTATTTTGGATCATTATTTTATTTAATTATTCATTTTATTAAGAAAAGTCTGACAATTCGAGGTTTCAAATAAATGCTATTTATTAAAGTGCATTTGGATTATACAATATTTTTTGTTTGTCCTATTGTGGTGCGTGCATAAATAGATCAGGTTTTCTTATGCGTGAGCAGGCCACACGCAGTTGTTCACGTGAGAAGCATGAATTTTCTAAATTCAATCTAGACACTTGTTTTAATGGGCGCACACAAATTGCCTCCCATGATTTTTTTTTTTAAAAAGGTTACTCGAATTGCCTCCCGATTTAAAAAATATAATTTACTCAAATTGTCTCCTATTTTAGGCGGTGCATACTACTTGCGTCCGAGATTATTACCAGTAGGTAATTTGCGTCCCTCCAAAAAAGATTCAAAAAAGTTCATAACCTATTTGCATCCAAAAATACCTTTTGAGATAGCCAAGTTGCGTCCCAGCACAAATAAGTCATAAACATAGCATAAAATAAGTATTACAAGTAATTAATCACATTTAAATAAATACAATTATACAAAATATTTACAGATCGTGTAAAAACATTTATTATTATTTATAAAAACACATCAAATTGTCAACTGTCAAAAAAAATAGAAAATTAGATAAATTATAAAGCTATTAATTACTTATTTAAAATAATGTTGGCTGAAATTTTAGTAAAACGTTTTTTAAATATATAAAAGGAGAATTTGTTTTTTCTTTGAATTTTTTTATTCCATTATTTAAATAGTCAATTTTTTGGTATTTTTTTCCCCCTATAATCTTTTTTGGGCGTATTTACGCTATTCATTAACACATAAGTATTAATTTGAAATGATTTTATAACATTTATAAATTGATATATACTTGGATGGCTGAGTAAAAAGATGAATTTAATTTTGAATGAAATGCTTCACATGCGTTTGTTGTTCGTTGTTGTTAGTTTGTTTTCTTAGTTAAAGTTTAAAAATAATGATTACTTCTTCCCGGTCAATATTAATTTCACGATGAACGCTTAGCAAAGCAAGTCCAGTTAATCGTTCATTTCCTGTCGAATTTCTCAAATATGATTTTACGTCGTAATGTTAAAAAAGTTCTTTCTGCAGTAGTAGTTGATACGGAAAGTGTAGAAATAATAGTTAACAATTGTTTTATATTTAGAAAAAATTCAGAATAACATTTTAAAAATACTTCAAATGCTGAGGCTGGTCTACTATCTTCTTTTTCTCTTACCCATTTGGATTTCTACAATAAATATTCCGAATTAAACTGTTGATAATCCGAAATTATTGTATTGTAAAAATCCTATAAATTGCTAACATATTTCTTAATTGTAAAAACAACTTTATTCGGCATAATATTTTAAAAATATATAATTAAATCATAATGCTGTTCAAACTTACTTTTTAAATTTGTTATAGAATGATCAAGAAATAGTATAAAAAGTGCTTTTCTATAATATTCTTCCGGCGTAGAATCTTAATAATTGTCTCGATTAATTTGTTTTTTTTTTTTTTTAAAAAATCTTGGTACGCTCATTGTGCCATCAACATCAGTTAAAGTTTTTGAAGCTGTAATAAATATTAGGTTAAATTTCTCCTCAGCATTTTGGCAAAGAAAATTGAAAGAATCAATGACTATTCGAACTATTTCGGGGGGTGTTTGAACACCCAAAACTCCCGCCTTACCTACGCTCATGCTTTAAATACATAGACATAATATAATGTCTATGTTTAAATATTTGTTAATATTTATATGTAGTCAAAAATGTTTGGATCTTTTTAAAATTGAGTAAAATCATAATTAAATGAATACTCCATCATTTGTGGTTTCTTTAAGGAAAATACAAATATGAACAAGTAAATAATGAAAAAATAATAATTTATTTTAACAGATTATTCTACAGTCTGATTACCGACAGTACGTTGAAAAACTAATTATTTATAGAACAATAGTTATTATTTTTATAGTTACGTTTTGACCATGAATCAATGGACTTGTTACATTTTACAAAGTATGTGTAACTTTTAGGCTATTAATATTTTTGATACATTAACGTCTTCTTTCTATGCTTTCTTTTTGTATTGTTGTAACATCTTACATTTCTGGCCTTCAAGATTCTTCACTAATTCTTGTCGAGGATTTTTTTTTTAAAGGTTAATTCAAAATGTGGCTACACTGATTGAGTTTTATTTTAAATTATAACTAATTTATTTTTATAGTTAATTTATAATTCAAACATTTATACTCTGAGTATTTTGAGTATTTTAAGTATATATAATAGTTCTAATTTAATTGTCGTTGTCTCAGTATTGTATTGTATTAAGTGGAAAAATAGTTTTTTTTATGAAATTTTATAATAGGAGGGGTATAGTACTTTATCATATGATATAATCATGTTACAACATGTACTGAAAATTACTATTACGTTTACATTTATAATGTTTTGATAACAACTCGACAATAATAAACTGACAAAGTGTCAAAATATTGTTTAGAACTGTAAACAGTAAGTTGTATTGAATGACAGATTTAGGCCTATGGTTGTACAACATACGGAATAATTTAATGTATAACAGTTTGAGTAGGTACCTGTTGAATTTTTTAATATCCTAGATTGTTTTTAAATTATAGGTTTTGTTCACAGTTTAACACAGTATTATTAATTGTTCGGCATTTTTCAATTATTCGTTAAAACAACATTTCAATTACAATGACATATTTATATGGTTTGTTTATTGAATAAGATTTGTGAACAACGATCAAATTTAAATGGCGACCATAGTTGAACAAACTCCAAATACAGCTGAAAAAGCGATTTCTCTGTTGGATTGTAATCAACTAGATGAAACTGTTCAAATTAAAAAAATTGACTATTCTAGTGTCCGAGGAAAGGTAATTTTTTATTTTAATCTATAGTTTGTCTAATTCTAAATTAACAATATCAGTTGTTGTAGTATAGTTAACATTAAAATATAGTATAAAATCTAATTTCAGATCAATCACTTTAAATATGGTTTTTTATTTTAATAATTTTTTTTCATCTTAGGTTAATACATTTTTATTTTAAAAATGTAACTTTTGTTTCTTTTGTATTGTAAGGAATATGGTATAATAGCTTAAAGCTTTTTTGTATTTTAGGATTTTTCATTTAATTTATATCTAATGAAACTTTTAATTGCAGTTAAGTTTGGTGAGTCCATCAGAAGAGCAATTTGAAACATTACAGCATAGATTTAAAGAATTAATAGAAGAAGGACACGGAGAAACTATATATGATGTAGGTATTGGAGATGATGGATATGGTTTGACCAATGATGAATTTGAAGCTTCGGTAGCTACATTACATTCATTAGCAGCAACTCAGGATGCAGATTGTGTTCTTCTTAGAGAAAAAACAGAAGGAGGACATTTTACAGCCCAGTATCTTGTAAGAAAAAGATTAGAATCTCAAGATTTCCTAGAAATAAGGTAATAAAATGTCAATTAACTATACAAATAAAATTTTATTTTTAACTTTTATTATCTTTTTATTTAGGGTAGCAGTTGTAGGGAATGTAGATGCTGGAAAATCAACATTGTTAGGTGTTTTGACCCATGGTGAATTAGATAATGGTCGAGGACATGCAAGATTAAAATTGTTTAGACACAAGCATGAAATGGAATCTGGACGTACCAGCTCTGTAGGCAATGATATTCTTGGTTTTGATAGTACAGGAGAAGTTGTTAATAGACCAGAACATGGATCATTAGATTGGGTAAAAATATGTGAGAAATCAACCAAAGTAATTACCTTTATTGATTTAGCAGGACATGAACGTTACTTGAAAACTACTGTCTTTGGTATGACTGGACATATGCCTGATTTCGGCATGTTAATGGTAATTTTAAATTTAATTGTACAATTAAATCTTGATTATTTGTCTAAAACTGGAACATGAAAATGAAATATAACTGAATAAGAAAGATAAGAGATAAAAAAAATGCTTTTTTCATCATTATGGGATCTTTTAATAAAATCCATTGACTTAGTTGTTACACAATCTACTGAATTCTGCCTTATTTAGTTGGTTTTCTACAGAGAGTTTCATATTTTTTTTCTAACTTGCATTGCCGTCAACTATTTTTATTTCAATTATAAAGTATTAAATATTATTTGTATTTTATTTAATAAAAAATATAGTTTTTCACAGACTAGTTTGTCAAGCATGTAGCAGTTACACTTTTCCATAATTGTTGAACAATTTTATACTTTTTCTTAGTTAATAGTACATATTTTTGTTTCTCAGACATTTTATAAAACATGACACAAATGCACTAATTAAACTGAGTATTGACTGTATATGCGTATAAAGTATACGTATTTAAATAATTATATGCTATAGAAACCAGTAAAACTTAAATAACTATAGATAATAACACAAATTGATGTGCAATATTCTATTAATAACATACAATATGTATGAAAATGTGTAAATATTTTATTGATAGGAGTTGGTGGATAAATTAATGACTGATAATTTGGGATTGTTTGTTGATAAATCTTGATGTTTTAATTTTATTTAGATTGGAGCAAATGCTGGGATAATTGGAATGACCAAAGAACATTTAGGTCTTGCACTAGCATTGAGTGTTCCTGTATTTGTTGTTGTTACAAAAATTGATATGTGTCCTCCTAATATACTTCAAGATACCTTACGATTATTGGTTCGTATACTTAAGTCACCAGGATGTAGAAAAGTGCCAGTTATGGTAAAAACAAAAGATGATGTCATTGTGAGTGCTACAAATTTTGTATCTCAAAGGTATGAAATATTGAAATTATTTTACATTTATTCAATTTTAAATTTAATGAATAAATAATATTGGTTTTAAGACTTTGTCCAATATTTCAAGTTTCTAATGTAAATGGTGAAAATTTAGATTTATTAAAAATGTTTTTAAATCTTTTGACAACCCGAGTGATGTCTACAGATAATGATCCTGCAGAATTTCAAATAGATGACACATATTCTGTACCGGTATGTATTAATTTTATATTTTAATCTTGAGAAAGTTAAAAGACTTCAATTGTTTTAATTTGTTTTAAATTTAAGGGTGTTGGAACTGTAGTTTCTGGTACAACTTTATGTGGAACAATTCGATTAAATGATACACTAATGCTTGGCCCGGACCCTGTTGGCCAATTTATTGCTATTACTGTTAAGAGCATCCATCGTAAAAGAATGGTCGTGCGGGAAGTAAAGGCTGGACAAACGGCTTCTTTTGCTTTAAAAAAAATTAAAAGATCCCAAATTCGAAAAGGAATGGTTATGGTGTCTCCATCTCTTAACCCATCTGCTACTTGGGAGTTTGATGGAGAAATACTTGTGTTACATCATCCAACAACAATTAGCTCACGTTATCAAGCAATGGGTACAACGAGATTAATAGTATTTAGTAATGTTATCTAAAATTTTATTATTATATGTGTAGTTCATTGTGGTAGTATTCGACAAACAGCATCTATACTGAGTATGTCTGAAGAATGTCTGAGAACAGGAGATAAGGCGAAAGTAAGATTTAGATTCATTAAATATCCTGAGTATTTACGACCAGGACAAAGATTAGTATTCAGAGAAGGTAGGACAAAAGCTGTTGGCAATGTGTTGGCTGTTCCCCCTCCAACTGGACAAGTGGGCTTCAGACAATCACAAAAACCTCAAAAATTAAACCCTCAAGCACAAGGACAGGTAATATAACATAAAAACATTAAATTCTTATTTTTTTTTTTTTTATTATGTTTTAATTATAGAATGTTGGAGAAAATGAAAACCAGCTAGCCCATAAGTCAAGAAGAAGAGGAGGACAAAAACCTTTGGCAGAACAAAATACTAGAACAATAGCTAAATCCTAATGATGGGAATTGTATATTGTATTAAGTATACAAAATGTTTGTTGTTATTCGAATTTTATGTTTTTTTAAATTTTTTTTAACATCATATATTGTCTATAAAAATAATTAAATTAAATAAAGTTTTGTTTTCCAATATTAATGGTGAAATGTATTATTGAGTATAATATTTAGTTATTTACCTGCATATGATCATTAAATTGTATGGCATTTTGTATATTATAAAATTCAAATGTCTTTGAATTTTATATTTCAACAAAAGTAATAAATTAATTAGTATTTTCAGATGAAATATTTTAATATTTAATAATTTTAAATAGTTTAAATTAAATGAATAGATACATTATATTTTAGATTCAAATCAAAGTAAAGAATGTGTTGGTTTTATAAGTATTTAAGTTTATAAGGCCTATAAGAAAGTTCACCAACAGATTGTATTTGTACATTTCTTTCTCTTGATTATGTATTATTTGTTACTAAATATAACAAAAGGATGGCTTTTCTGTAAAATAATTTTGACAATAACTTTGAGAACTTTTGAGTTGGCGGGTCACTCAAAAAATTTAATTTTTGTTAATTATAATGAAATTCGAAATGTCACAGGAACTAGTTAAAACATCGGGATTTGTTGAAACATGCTCGTAAAATAGTTTGGTATTACAAAAAGAATATCGACGATTGTTTTAACTATCATACATTCTTCAAAGGATAAATTTTTTAAATTTACTTAAATCGCTATCAGTTAATCATCCAATCAAATATAATCTGAAACAGGAAGCTACTTACAAAAGACCACATGTAGATAACTCATCAGAGAACAGAGCATTCAAAACTATAGCAAAGGAGATTTTCACGGATACAGATATAAGAAATGTGATTGAAAAAGATTTTACAAGGCTTCTTCAAGAAGAAGACGAATATATTGATAAAGGAAGTGGTTTCATATTCGAATGTATCGATGGACTGCTTTTAGGTGTATACAAATATATACCTATGGGTGGATCGTCATATATAAAATTACCTGACGATATCAGAAACAAAAAAGCAGTAATTGATTCACAAAATATAGACCAACAATGTTTTAAATGGGCAATACTGACAAAACATATCGATGAATATCGTAATCAAACCATGTTTACAGATAAAAAAAGAACATCTTTATAATTTTTCAGGTCTTAAATTTTCAACACCAGATATAAAAATATTTGAGCGGAATAACTTGAATGTTTCAATAAACGTGTGTAGTCTGAAACAAAATAAGAAAAATCATAATATTTACTCATTAAAAGTTGTGGATGAAGAAAAAAAAAGATCGTTTCGATCTCTTACTGATTACCGATGGAGATAAAAGTCACTATACATACATTTCAAATTTTTCACGCTTTGTTAGAGCAAAAAAAACGTATCACAAAGAAACAGTTCTTTTCTGCAAGAGATGCTTCACATCATTCGATAATCAACCCCTTAAAAATACACTATATGGATAAGCAGCACTAGATCAACACAATCTGATATGCGGACTACACAAACTAATTTTACCTCAGATGCCTGCGCCCGGTACAATGCTAGAGTTTGATGGGCGGAGTAAAACTCAACGGCATCCGATAGTCATTTACGCAGACTTTGAAGCACTCTGGTAAAATGTGAAGAAAGTAGAGGTAAGAATACGTTAGATATTCAAAAGTATAAACCAATGAGCTATGGAATATTCGTAAAGACTACAGAAAACGTTCCCATACATCTGCAAGAAAAGTTCAATATACCAATATACCACAAAAACCAATTATTTTCCGTGGTAATGAATCACACCAAGACGTAGCCAAAAGATTCACAAAAGAAGTTACCGAGATTGAAAGAAAAGTTGAATATTTGCTTAAAACAAATAAACCTATAATAATAACTGAAGAAGAACAAAGAACACATCTAATGAAAATTACTTGCAATTTATATAAGTGTATTTTTTCCGACAAAAACCATAAAGTAGCAGATCACTGCCATTTATCAGGGAAATTCAGGCATACACTATGTAACACATATAATCTAAAGTTGCAAAAACCAAATTTCGTCTCATGTATTCTACACAACTTAACAAATTACAGTACTCACTTTATAGTGACAGAATTAAGACACGACACTAACCTAACCACAGTCATTCCAAACAGTGAAAAAAAGTTTATTTAATTTTCTAAACACGTTTCCAACAACTTCACAATACGGTTTATAGATTCTTGTCGTTTCATGCCTTCAAAACTATCAACACTTGTAGAAAATTTAATAACACCTGGGTTCAAGAAGTTCAAAGAAACCGCAAAAGCATTCATACTCAAAGATATGGATCTCGTTACACGTAAGGGTGTATACCCTTACGAATATACAGACCGTTGGGAAAAATTAGAAGAAAAAACATTACCATCAAAAGAAAATTTTTATAGCACATTAACAGAAGAATATATAGAATCTATATATCCAAACTATGACGCTATTTTGAGACAAAACATGGTGAATTTACTAGTAAGTCTTTGGATTTTTTTGTAGTCATGTTAGAAGAATTTAAAAAATCACAAAAAATGATGACATTTTCGACAAGTTTAAGGGGTAATAAAAATGCCACTTTAGCTTCATACGAATTCGCTCAATTTGTTGCAAAATCCTGTAAGGCTCATACCATAGCCGAAGAACTAATTCTTTCTGCTGAAATTGTCCTGTGCAAAATAATGTTAGGTGAATCTGCAGCAAAGTTGATTAGTTCTGTCTCCCTATCTAATAGTACTATTCAAAGAAGAATTACCAACATGTTTGAAAATATTGAAGAAATATTATTTACAAGGCTATCTATAAGTGACAAGTTTGCACGGCAACTAGATGAAAGTACAGACATAGCAAGTAAGTCATCTATGTTGGTTTTTGTCCGTTTTATATGGGAAAAACAGTTATTTTAAGATTTTTTGTTTTCATGCGAGCTCCTACATACTTCGGCAAAAGATATATTTAAAGCTATAAATAAGTTTTTTACAGAACATGCCATTAGATCAGAAAAATGTGTTGGAATAACCACTGATGGTGCAGCAGCAATGTCAGGTTATAAAACTGAATTGTTGGTTCGTGTGAAAGAAGTTGCACCTCAAGTAAAGTGGACTCACTGTTGTATTCATAGGGAAGCGTTGGTTGCTAAACGCCTATCGGAACACATGATAACAACTTTAGAGGAAGTAGTGAAAATTATAAACTTTATTAAATCACGATCTCTACAATTCAGGATTTTTGAAGTCCTAGCAAAGACATGGGAAGTGACCACGTACAGCTTATTTTGCACACTAAAATTCGAAGGCTTTCACGTGGCAAAATTCTTCAGCGTTTTTTTGAGCTAAGAAACGAAGTTTGAATATTTCTTCTTGAAACCAGGTTTGTGGGCTTGTTAACTGATTTTTCTTGGCTGTCTCGGATAGCTTATTTGGCCGATATGTTTGAATACTTGAATACACTAAATTTGAGTTTACAAGGAATTTATATTGATTTTTTTCACGTTGAGGATAAAATCGAAGCAACTATATAAAAGCTTGAAATTTGGGAAATACGTGTTGAAAAAAACTCAGTAACTTTCCAACATTACAAGCTTTTTTGGAATCTTTGTGTGAATGTCTATCACAGGAGGTAAAAAGTGAAATACCTGAACACTTGTTGAGCATGGCCAAAATATTGAGAAAATATTTTCATCAACCTGATCCAAACAATACGTGGATAAGAAATCCATTTTTATATGATATTGAAAAAATAGAAAATCTCTCTGAACAGGAACAAGATGAATTAATTAATTTGGTAACTAATGGAACGATGAAAAATATTTTCAACGATAAAAAAAACTAATTAATTTTTGGTTAATTGTTCAAAATGATCAAAAGCAACTGGCTGAGAAAGCTTTAAGACATTTGATCCCCTTTTGCACAACATATAGATGTGAACAAGATTTTTTCTACCTACTGTTACATGAAAAACAAATATCGTAACAAACTTAATATTGACGCTGATTTAAGAGTTAAAATATCAAGCAGCCGGACGTAGACGAAATTATGAACAAAAAAGAAAGATTTCACTTGTCTCATAAAGTTTGAAGGTGTTTAATCAAATAATTTTTTTTTATAAATATATTTTTTATTTGAGAAAACTTGTTTCTATTATATTACGAAAATGTTTTTAAAATTAAAAATTAAATCATATTTAAAATAAATCGTACAAATTTATTTTTCATTAAATTTTAATTAAATAAAATTGAATAGTAAGTATGTATTTACAAAAAAAAGGGTCCACGGACCAATTTAAGTTATAGCTAGGAGTCCGTGGCTTCACACTAATTGGGAACCGCAGTCACAGTATGGAAACATTTCAAATGCAAAACTTTGGGAGAATATTCAGACCTTTATCTTAAAATTGACGTACTGTTGTTAGCTGAAGTATTCGAAAATTTTAGAGACATGTGCATTTCTACATACAATTTAGATCCTGTTTACTACTATACAGCTCCAGGTTTTAGTTTTGACTGTATGTTAAAATATACCAAAGTCAAACTAGAATTGCTTTCTGATTAAGAAACCCACCTATTTTTCGAAAACTCAATCCGCGGTAGTCTCACACAAGTCAGTATGAGGTACGCCAAAGCTAATTATGAAAATACTCCGGATTATAACGAGATGAAACCGAAATTATGGCTAGTCTATCAAGATTGTAATAATTTTATATAGATGGGCAATGTCACAATATATGCCACGACGGGTTCAAATAGATAGAGTCTACGCTAGTTGATTTGGTAACATTGACAGATACTTTAGATATAGGTAGAGTGTGTGAAGTGGATATATCGTATCCTTAAGATTTACACGATGAACACAACGACTTTCTTTTCCTTCCACAAAACAGCATTCCCCCAGATTCAAAAATAAATAAGCTTATAGTAACACTTCATCATAAGAAAAATTATATTATTCACTACAGAAATTTACAACAGGCATTATCAAAGTACCTATGGTTTATTTGGTGACGAGGTGACCTATTGACTGTGGTATTATA